GCTCATTTCGGCACACCCCTCACGCGCTTCGCGGCCCCAACGGGAGCTCCACCGAAGCCGATTCTCAGAACTGCGGCATCCACAACTGCACACGGTTGAGCCCATCGCCATGATAATTACAACGGGTCGTGGCCGTGTCGCATGGGTGAGAGCGCCGCCAGGTGCACCGTAGTGCTTTTTTGTACAGAGGGTCGTGGCCGTGTGAGAAAGGTGTGAACCGCCATGTGCACTTACATGAGATCGTGGCCGTCCCGACCAAATGTGTCGCTGGCATTGGGGCGAGCGCAAGATTCCTGATTCAATGGCTCGGAAGTCTCAGGCGAAACGGCTGCCAGCATAGCTGCCAGGAGGTCTCAGGCGAAAGCGGCTCTTGCGCCAGCGTTCTCGGGCTTCCCCAGCGGGGCTCTTCCAGAGTCCTGTTGAGCCGCTGTTAGAGCCCCCCAGCGAACTAGATTATGGAGCAATATATTCACGATTACACGGCCGTGCTCTCGCCTCAAGACCGGCTACATGTTAGGTCCAGACGGCCACGATCCCTCGTCACAGGAACTCGCTAAGTGGCACGTGGCCGTGCTCTCACCCCTGTCCTGGCTGCTTCCGCCCATGTCCCGCCTCTTCACTTTTGCTGCCAGTAGGGTGCTTTGCTGGGGTACTGCTGTGAGCTCAAAGCATTATTACGTTCCCAAGCCGAAAGTTTTTCCCTCTTGCATGGGAACGCATGGACCTATTTGGATCCAATCACGTGTGTGCGAGAGAAAGTAGATCCAATTTCCCTGGAATAGAATTATAATAATAAGTAATACAAGGGACCCAAGGGGAAATGGATCCACGGAGCCTTGGACCTGCACCCATAGCTATGCTTATACGGGGGAGGGGTTTCCCGACCGAGGAGGGAGGCGGACGAGGAGGGAGGACGGAGGAGGCGGATGAGGGAGGAGGGAGGAGGAGGGAAAACGACCGCGGTGCCCAAGTCGGGAGCTCGAGCGCCACAGCGGGCCTGGCCAACTCTCCGAACCCCTCCCATTACATGTCGTTGCTCGAGCGCCGCAGCTGCCCCGGCCAACTCCCGCAGCCTCCAGAACATGTGGGCGCTCGAGCGCCACAGCTGGCCTGGCCAACTCCCGCAGCCTCCCATAACATATGCCGCAAACCCACCTCGACGCGAGCGCGATATGATCGCTGCGTCCGCATCCGCTAAAACTAACGACACTTCGCATGTGTCATGTGGGCCCCAAGAGGAAAATCTTTCGGCCTGCTCACGTATTCTTCCCCCACGTACTAGTAACGCTGTAGGAGGATACTACAGTTCACGTGTAGGGGCAAGGCTATCCAGGACGAGAAAGGGTCCAGGCAGATCGTCCCGCGTGAGTTGCTTCTGAAGTCCATGCCCTTCTGGTCCCTCTCCTCCTACTCTTGTTCCCTTCCTTACGCTTGTGTACTTATGCACCCCCCTCCGGCTTTTGCCAGAATCCGGCCCACAACTACTACAAGAAACCTCACGCCACATGGTTCTCAATCTCAGTCTTGACAATTACTCAATATGAAAATACTCTCCCTCTTCCCCTGATGGCGGTTGGGTGATCGCCGAACACCCTCCGCGTATTGTTTTTTTAAAACACAGGATTCCCGGAAAACGGGTTTTCGCCTGCGTTTTTTTTCAAAATGCTGCTCTCGCTGAGGCGCCGGCCTCATTTGTGCTCCCGAATCGTTCCGACTCGTGCTCCCGCTGCAGCGTGGGCCTCATTTTCGGATCGGTGTTTGGCCTCCGTCGTTCAGGATGGCGTTCTCGCCCCAGCGCATCGCGCCGCGCGCACCAGCACCAGCACCAGCACCAGCACCAGCACCATCACACGCTCACGACACGCGTCCGCGGATAGAGAAAATCAGCGCCATGGTAAGGGATGGAAGGGAGGGGTAGGACGTCAGATATGACGCGAGCGCACCTAGCTTGCCCCCCCCCCCTCCCCGCCCCCCCCGCCCGAAAGGGGGGGAACAGCACGAGGGGGCAGGGCTCAAGGAGGGAAACACTAAGCTGGCAGCTGCAGCACACGGCAGGCAGATCGGCGGTAGGCCCTTACATATCCACAGGCTCCTGGGCGGGGTGCGACTATCGGGCCCCTTATCGTTGTGGATGCCATGACAGTGGGCACTCTAACAATCCGATCATTGAATTTAAAAGGTGTGCTTAAACTGTGTAAAACATGTTCTGAAAACGTTTCAAACGTGCTTTTTTACAGATTTGCAGCATGTTCGAAACATGTTTTAGACATCTGGGAATTATTTGGCAGCACGCTTCCTCTCCACTAATCGACTTCCACAACCCTGCCGGTGATCAGTGGGCGATTGGGGGTAGATGCATCCGCCCTGAGCCTAAGCCCCCCCCCTAACGTTGTCAGGCCAGCCACAACTGGGGGAGCTGTGGTCCCTACCCCCATGGGGGACCCATCGATTTCGACACCCCTCTCGAGAAATCGTCGACGCGATGGGTTCCCCCAGGGGGGTAAGGACCACAGCTCCCCCAGTTATGGCTGGTCGGCGTTGTCCATGGATGTTTCCGGGCCCTGGCTCGGGCCTCCGCTGGCCGGTCGGGACGACCCGGGCGCCCCTGGAGCGCTCTCGGCGGGGCGCGGCCGCTGGAAGACCAGCCGAGGTTGAGCAGATCGCCGAGAGCCGACGAGAACGGCAGAAGACCTCGAACACCTCGGGGGCGCCCCCCTTTTTGGGCACTGCTCGACCCCTCCCCCCCCCCGCCTCCGCCCGACGCGCCCCGGCGCGCTCCGCGCGCCAGGGGCGGGGCCAGTGGCGTCGCCAGGGGCCCAGCGCAGACCCAAGAAATCTGCGCGGAGCTCCTACCGTTCATGTTCATACCAGCTTTTGTCTTCCTCGATACTCCTGGGGGTGCGGCAGAAGCGCATGGGGACGCGGAACACAAAACGTACCGAGAGCTGGACATGGGACGCGGAACAAAAACGCACCGAAACCTCAACCCTGACCCCCCTCCCCCCTCCTGACCGTAGCGCCTCCCAGAACAAACGCCGGGCACATACCAGCATGGATCTGCGCAGATTCCGTGGCATCGAGATTCCTGGCGACGGGTGCTGCCAAGCTCATGCGGTCCTCAGGGCAGCGAAGCTCCGTGTCAGTTCTCATCCGCTCGGATTGCAGGTGGCCCCCCCCCTTCCCTAGACCGCCAGGCGGCCATCGTTCGGACGTCCCTTCCCAGTGCATGGTTTGCGGCTTCGTGCTTTTTTCTTGTTCTTCGCAGGATGATCTAGGATGCTCCTCGATGGTCCCTACCGAGAAAACATGCACACGTCCGAGCGATGCCAGGTCATCCATTCCGACTGCAGGTTGAGGGGCAACGATAGGGGATAGACTGGCATGGGGGGGACTGCATCGACCTGGAATCGGCGACACATCGTCGAGAAATCGGCGATGGCCCCCCGACAACAAAACCCGCAGTTTCCTGGGCGGGTCGGGGCCATTGGGCCCCTCTCGGCGATCAGTGGGCGATTGGGAGTCGATGCTTATGTTGCTCCATTCGTACTTCAGGACCACATCCCAGAAATTCGCCGGCCCAACGGGCCAGAGGCGTGCTAAGATCTCCGGTAACTGCTCTACAATGTTTCTACTTCGCGCGCGCGGGGCGGCCCCTGGGGGTCCCCAGACGAAAAGTACCCCGACCAGGTCCCGGCCGGTCCCCGGCAAGGTCCCCGGCAAGGTCCCCGGCAAGGTCCCCGGCAAGGTCCCCGCAAGGTCGGGCCAGAGATGCCGGAGCCCTGTTACAGGGCCCCAGGACGGGCCAAGAGGCCCCCAAGAAGCCTCCAAGACGGTCCAAGAGGGCCCCGAGACGGCCAAAGATCGCCCGAAGACGCCCAACAGGGCCCCAAGACAGCCCAAGAGGCCTCCAAGACGCCCCAAGGGCCTTCCAAGAGGCCTCCGAAGAGGGCCCCAAGAGGCCAAAATCGTTGATTTTCATTGTTTTTTTCGCTGTTTTTTGCGTTCTGGCTTTTTCGGCTTCCGGACGCTCCAAGACGGCCCAAGAGGCCCCCAAGACCGCTCCAAGACGGCCCATGAGGCTCCCAAGACGGCCCCGGAACGGCCCTGGAGGGCCCCCAAGACGGCCCAAGTGCCGCCCAAGACGGACCAAGAGGCCCCAAGACGGGCCCAAGAGGGGCTCAAGAGGGGAACCGAGAACTGAAAAATCGAGCCCTCCGCCCCAGAAGGCGCCCAGGAGGCCCCAAAAAGGCCCCAAGAGGCCCCCAAGAGGCCCCCAAGACGCCCCAAGAGGCGCCCAAGAGGCCCAAAAGAGGCCCCAAGAGGCCCCAAAACGGCCCCCAAGAGGCCCCAAAACTCGGCTAGCCCACAACTGTGCGACAATATGGGCCGGCGGAATGAGCGAAGCGATTAAATAACTTTGAGCACCCCGCAACGTATCGAAACAGTGTCGAACGAGTATCGCCTCCCAGGGCCCGACACGTGAAGACCCTCAAGTTTCGATACTTTCTTGGGGCTCGAAATTCTTTCGGGCGGTCAGGGCTAAAGTAGGTTGGAGCATCATAAGTCGAAGCATCTCCCCCGCGGACTCATACCCCACTATTTGGGCGCGCAAACATGGATTCGCAATCCATGGATTTGGCGCGCGGTCGCCAAATCCATGGATCGGGGAAGGTGACCTCCTCAAAATGCGGCCGGACCTCGCTCGGCGGCGGAAATCCGCGGTTTCCCATGGAAACGGGACCCGTCGCTAATCCACCTCTGCGGGTGTCCTTGGCCTGGAAGATTTCGGTCATCATGGGAAAGAACTTGTCAAAAAGTCTGGAGTGGGCAGCATCCCCAGGTGAAAACGTACCAGAATCACAACACAAACGCCCTTCGCCTCGAGCACAACATGGAAATCTCCGAGCAGCAGACTGTGCACAACCCTGATCCATGCTTGCGATCGCCCGACACCGTCGTCGCCCCTGACAGGTGCCCGCCCCCCTCCCCTCCCCCAGGACCGCCAGGAGGCCGCCCGCGGCCGCCAGCCCCGCGCCGCGGGCGCCGCAGGGGCGCCGCCGGCCGCCCTCGGAGGCCTCTCGGGGGGGGGGGGGGGAGGCACCCAGCAGCAGGCTGGGTGTGGGGGGGGGGCAGCCGGGCGGGGGGGCACAGAGCGTCAGGAGGCAACTCCTGCCCCCTGCCTCCTGCCTCCTCCCTCATTCTCCTCCCTCATTCTCCTCCTCCTCCTCCTCCTCCTCCTCCTCCTCCTCCTCCTCCTCCTCCTCCTCCTATCTCTCCTCTCGGGTGGGGGGGGGGCGCCCAGCAGCAGGCGGGGGGGGGGGGGCAGCCGGGCGGGGGGGTGCAGGAGAGCGTCAGGAGGCAACGCCTGGGAGGCCGGACCCCCCCGAGTCGTGAGAAAGCCACGACGGAAGGTCTTTCGCTATGTTCGGCCTCCGGGGGGGAACAGCACGTGGACATTCGACTCGAACCCTGTTGCCCAAGATGCCCCGCCGGCTTTTGCCAGAATTCGGCCCAAAGATACTACAACGCCACATGGTTCGAAATCTCATTCTTGCCCCCCCCCTCCCCGCCTCCCCACCCGAAAGAGGGGGAACATTACGAGGGGGCCGGCTCAAGGAGGGAAACATCGAGTTGGCATCTGCAACACATGGCCGGTAGATCGGCGGCACGCCCGTACATGGACATTATATTCGAACCCTGTTGCCCAAGATGCCCCACAGACCCCCCGCAATGAATATTGATGGCGTGGCGACGGGGGGGGCGTGAGTGGACAGAAATATTCGAACCCCAAAGCACTGCCTTCACTGAGATCAACATAAATGTCGGGGGCGCGGGGGTGATTTAGAATCTCTCTCGAATGTGTAAGGGTTCGAATAGATTGTCGATCTACTGCCTCACAGGCCTCACTGTCTCACCGGTCCAGGGGAATGGGTCGAGACCTCTTGGGGTCCACGTCATGACAAATCATGACGTCGGGGGTCTGGGAGCACCGCTGGGCATCGTTTTACCGATCCAGGTCTCACTGGCATGGCCTTGGCCGCAATTGCCGACAGAGGGAGGGACGGAAGGAGGGAGGAGGGGTTGGAGATGGAGAGGAGGAGGAGGAGGAGGAGGAGGAGGAGGAGGAGGAGGAGGAAGAGGACGAAAGCGGGGCGCCGTCTTTCAAAAACGAGGACCCAACAACAGGTTGTTTTGGATTCGCGGGCCCTATGCCCACCTGGAGGGGGCAGGCTGGTGGGGCTGAGATACCATGGCCTACCGGGGATGGGAACCCGCTGGACGGTGCTGATCTGCGCAGGAACGAAAAGCTTGGCCAAAGGAAGGAGCCACTCGGCCTGGATTGAACACAGGACGAAGCCCGCTTAGGTCGGATCCAGCCAGGGTCCGTGAAATCGAACTGGATCAGGCCAGATTCAAACAGCGAGACCAGTCGCCCCGTCGCCGTCCCTCCCTCATCCCTCCTCCTCCTCATCATCATCCTCCTCCTCGTCCTCGTCGTCCTCGTCGTTCTCGTCGTCGTCGTCCTCCTCCTCCTCCTCCTCCTCCTCCTCCTCTTCCTTCTCCTCCTCCTCCTCCTCCTCCTCCTCCTCCTCCTTCCCCCTGCTTTCTTCCTCCCACCCTTCCTCTGCGCTTGATTCCCGCCGCCCCTGCGGCAATTTCCTCCCCGCCCTCGCCGGCGCCTGCTGCGGCAACATCGGGTCGGAGCCATCGGCCGACTCGCTCGCAGACTCGTAGTCCCACGGGGCCGGCAT